TTCCCCGAGTTTTCCGAGACCTTTGAATAAATCCCTTCCCCGCAGCATATCTGGAAAGGACACGTTGTGAACAAACTTGTGAACTCCCAAACCTTCAATGGCCAGAAAGCCTAGAAGAGGAAGGTCGTGCGCTGGCATGACGAAGACCTGCTAGACAAAGTACTTGTTCTTCCAGCGTAGGGTTGCCTCGAATGTGCCGAGGACTTGCAAAGAAATGTTTCCAGGTCCGGCCAGCTCGCCGTCTACCTTCTGCGATTCTCGAGGAACGCCTGTAAAGGAGCGTGGTAGCACCGCCACCTCCGCGCCCGAGTCGACCTTGAAGTGGACCGCATAGCCCTTGACGTCCACCGAGACGAACTTGGCTCGGCAACTCGGTGCGGCGGAGTGCAGTTGGGTGGAGCTCAAGCCTCTCTTCTTTTCGCAGACTGCGTGGAAGTGGCCTAGCCGCTTGGAATATGGGCACTTCGCTGGTCCGGCCGGACACTCGGTGCGTTGATGGTTTTCTTTCCTGCAAAGCTGGCAGCTCTTCGCGGTGAAAGTAAACGCGAACGACTCTTCTCCTGTGCGATGCTTGGGCTTGAAACACGGATATTCGCGTTGACCTTTCTTGACCTTCGGCTCGGCGACCACATGGCAGGAATCACACCCATCCAGAAAAACCGCGGTTCGGGCCTTCGCGGCATCCTCGTAAACTCACGCCTGGAGCCTTGCCTCCTCTAGCGTAAGCTTCGGACAGCGACAAAACTTGCGCAAGAGAAGAAAATTCAGAAGACCCACGACGAAGCGGTCTCGCACCAGATGGTCTTCCACTGCCGTGGATTGGTAGTGACATTTCTTGACCAGTGTATAAAGCTCGGTTCATAAGGTGTGAACCTACTCACTAGTCTCTTGGACTCGACGGTGAAATCAACGCTTTCTTAGACCTCGTTCAACAGATGAATGAAGTGGTGCCCTCTACCGAGCCCCCATCCACGGGAGTCAGCGTGAGCGTATCGAGGACGCGGCGTGCTTCCTGATGTTCGATGAGGTCTGGAGGCATAGCTGTAATCCTCGAATTGAAACACCCATTGCCCTCATGTGCTTGGATTCGATACATCGAAGTTGGGGGGAGGCTTTAGTCCCGTGGCACCAAAGGACTGATGCAGCAGTGACGCGGTGGCGGCGGAGATTGCTTCGGTCTATGTCATGGTTTGACATTCGGGTTACGCGGCGGTTGCTCTCACATCCAACCTCTTGCACCATGTTGCTGGTAGCTATGGGCTAGCCGCGCGTAACGTGGAAAGAAGCAGCCGACCACCGTGAGACCGAAAACACGAATTACCTTTATGTCGGTCATTTGGCGACCCACACAAGCCATAGAATGTTCCCGCACGCGCCACTAGCTCGCGATGCATTCAGTGCCGCGTGGCTCGTTGTCCTGCGTCACGCCATGTGAGCACATGCACTCGCTACAAGGTTAACTGTGGTCCTGTTTGTAAGCGCTGAAATAATATAACGGAAGCACTAACCCATGAAATATATTGAGAAAACGGCTCACAGGATTCAAGATAACGTATGTTTGCACGCGCCACAATAACATAATTTTAAGTTCATTTGTTCAGCCTGGTAGTGGAATGCATACCCGGAATTTTTCCTCTAATGTTGTGGGTCTGACAGTTGATTAGCTCTGCGTACACAGTCCGACCTGAGCAGTCACGGCGTCTTAAAAGGTATAACGTGCTGGTGTAGCGGCAATAAGCCCGGCGCTAACTGTATTTTCGGCTCTCAGTAACTCCGTGGAACTTTGGTGTCTGGAACACGTCTAGAGCTAGTGTGTTTACTCAGTAAAAAAAAAAAATTGTTTCTCGATTACTGCCTGATTACGTCATAGAAGTGTCATGCCGTCGTCAGCCGCAATCCTGGCGTTGTCGTGGCAGCGGATGTGACTGGCGCGTGAGCTGTCGCGAATCGCTCTCCAGCTTCCCAGTCCACGGAAGCTTCGGCAGCCAGGAGTGGAGATGCCGCGAGGACAGTGAAACACGCCTTAATTTGCTCGTGACCTTTTGCCGGGACTTTTTCGCCTAACCGCCCGGATCGCGACATCCAACAACATGTGGCGTCATTTGTTGCCACTTAGGGACCACTTTGGACGCATGGGGCGGAATGGGACGCTAAGCACACCAGTTGGAATCGCGTTGCAGGCGCCGGTGTAGAACGAAGCTCCAGCGTAACAACAACTCCGACAAAGTTATATCTGTAATCCCAATTCAAATTTTCAATTACCGAGGCTAGAACTCAGTTCTATGATAACGACAATTACTTTTAGTGGGAAGTGACGACTGCAGTGCTGAAGGTAACGAGTTATAATTAACGTCGTTACCCTTAACGCGCTCCTTTTTTCAGCAACGTTTAGTAACGTTCTCGTTACTTTTTCAAAAGAGTAACGGGTAACGCACTTGCGTTACTTATTTTATGTAATGGCCCGGATAACGTAATTACGGTACCCGTTGCATCGTCCCAAGAGCTGAAAAAAGTACATCCAAACTTTTTGTCGTGTTTCTATGCAGAGTGGAAGTTCGTCTGCTTTTTTTTTGCAAGCGTTGCGATGACGTCAGAAAGACGTCGAGCTCTGAAGGCAGCTTGCTTTAAGGTCTACCCACTATCCTTTATTCAGAGTCAATTAGAGCTCGGCGCCTTCCTGACGTCACTGCAACTCCTGTGCAAGAAGCAGACGACTTGCTCTTCGCATAGTTCGTTTCACCTTAAGTCCAGACGCAGCCGACGCTACGAGCTGATGGCACCAATCAGACAACGTGAAAAGGGCACCATCGTGTGGTCCTCGCCGTGTTTCTGTGCAGGTTTTATTGTCGCTGAAGCAGTCAAACAAAAAACGCCCAGTGACTCGCGCTTGTGTCGCTGCTTCATTGATCTCGTAGCGTCGGCTCCGTCTGAACTTAAGCTGAAACGAAGTATATGTGCCAAGTCATTAATTATTGCATTCATTCCACGTGCCTTCAAAATTTTGCCTGTCTGAAGTGGGAATTGTTGCCCCATGGAAAAATATTCACTTCAGAAAAACACCAACGCCTGCTCTTTGTCCCAATGTCAAAAAACGCTGTCGCAAAAAAAACGCTGTTATTGTTAATTTATAAATCAAAAGTAACGCAAAAGTAGAGTGCGTTACTTTTTATCTGTAACATGAACGCGTTCTTTTTTATTCTGGCGTAACGTAAGTTCGTTACGCGTTCCTTTCTTTTGAAAGTAACGGCTAACGTATTTCGTTACTTTTTTCCGGTAACGCGTACAACACTGATAACGAAGTATATTGGAATTTAAACGAAAGTAGCGAGGTAAAATTGCTAAAATTATTGCCCGAATATGCAACAGAATTACCTTGCGTACTATAATGAGGACATTCCTGCTCAGTTCATTGAACTCGGACTATCAAACATGCAGCAGCAAGCTCATAGGTAGGTTGACCATTAAAAAAATATTGATTTCGTGGTGCGCCGTTAAAGAAAACGCATGCAAACACGTCTTGCATACACTAAGATCTTTTTACTAGCACCCCTATCGAAAAAGATGTAATTTATATATGGATTGTTTAATAAACGAACACATTCTATAAACAAACACTCAAAGGAACAAAAATGCGGCCTGTTGAATTGTGTTATACGGCCAGGCAGATATTATGTTCAAGATAGAATACATGGCTTATATATAAAAATCCACCGATTGTTACTTTTTTTTTTTTTTTAACCAGACGTCTTAGGTTGCATGCTTATGTTGAGAAAATAAAGGCAACCAATGTTGCGCCAAACCAATATTTTCTTTTTTTTCCTGGATCGAGCACACCGGTTCTTGTTATTCATTGTCTTATTTTTTTCTGGAAATCTGTCGACACCGAAACCAAACACGCAACGCCCGCCGGAAGGACACTGTCGCTTTACGCCGGAAGGTCAGGTGTTAATGCCGAACCTTTCGTCCCTTTTGCGCGCAACAAAGCATTCACTTTTTGGTGAGTATACTTCATGCTTTCCAGGGATATACCGCAGTAAAGCAAAGCAACTTGTCGCTGCCCCATGAGGTGGCTTATCACTTCTTTTTCCCTAGCCACGGAACATCGACTGCAGTCAGCTCCGGAGCGCTGTGAGGTAAAATAGTGACGATAATTTCGTCATTAGCACGTGACCCTCCGATGTTAAACGAGGGTTGTGCTTCCGGAGCGCATGGTGCGTTTGGTTTCGATATTGAAAGAATTTCAGGACAAAATTTGAAAATTAATAACTCGAACTGCGTGCTCGATCTGTGATTTTTAAGGACTGTGGGTAGGTCTTCAACATGCATTGCATCAATATCTTCAAAATAAACATGTGCACTAGAACGTATAATTAAAAAAGTAATTAGTGAATTTTTGTTAATTAGTCATCTATTAGATGAACACTCTCTGGAACTTAATGTTGGCCTGGCCGGGTAACTAACTCGCGTAGACCGCGTTTGTATAGCGTTCTTGTATGTTTTTTTTTTTTTTATTATTATTCATTTTTTTAACAAAATCTGTTCGATAAGAAAAAATGGAAGTTTGCAAATCTCTGCAACACGAAATAAGAGCGCAGCTCTTGAGGAGGTGGGGAGGATACAGAGGGGAGCATATGCCCCTCCATATCCTCCCTGGAGGAGAAGTGAATTTGTGTTGAGGCTACGTGACGTAAATTTACCGCTAAATTTAGCGTGATTACGCCAACGCCGACGCTGCGAAACGCGGAAACGGGTGCCTAAGAGCTGTGTTCTAAAAACACCCTCACATAAGGAAAATACCTCATATGATCATATATGTTCCCTCGCGTTTAACGGAAACACTCATACATTTCATTTTATTAGAAAGAAACGCCATATTATAATATTTCTCTAATACAAATACACACAAAAACATACAAACTCCACAGCCTACACGAGCACTAAAACTGGGCACTCACTATCTTGTCGAATAATTTCATTCCCGTCATTTTCGAACACAGTACCTGCCACGAGCTGTTTCAGTTCTTCCTCAATGGCTTTGTGCTTCTCTTTGTAGGCATCTCTGAGGACGACGCAAGCCGCCGGGGCCTCCCCGTACTTGGCACTGGGAACACCGATTACCGATACTTCCTTGACCGCGTAGTGACTCATCAGGATTTCTTCCAGTTCCGCCGGAGCAAGCTGGTTCTCCATGCACTTGATCATCTGCTTCAGCCTGTCCACAATGTACAGACGCCCCTCGTCGTCGAGATAACCTATGTCACCTGGAAGCAAGTAATTACGCTTTCAATTAAGTGTCGTACAAAATTCGTACAGATTTGAAAGTTAGTGCAACTTAGCTTCATTTTTGTTTCTGAAAAAACAATGCAGTCCTCTTCACTATCACCTAGGAAGACTCCATGTCAAATATTACGAGATAGTCCAGTCTAAATGTTTCTTAAATAGTCCTGCAAACTTTGCAACTCGCCGAGTAGCCGAAATCGTTAGGCTACGGCATTGGCGTAGCCAACATTGAGCTAATCGTCATCACCACTGCCCTTTTTTGTTTGCTTTCCCTTCTCCGGGTAAGCGTAACGGCTGACGTCCGCAACGTTTCCTCTCGGTGCTCAGCGCTGTCCACGTCACCGCCGTCGTCGTATCACCGTTTGTTATTGCCTCTCGGAGTTTTCTTTCACGCTACGAGCGCAGACTCATGCCGCAGTTATGTAGGCGTCGTTGAATGTTGTAGACACCAAAACCTGGTGAGCAGTGCGGTGCAGACGACACTTGCGCCTGGAACACGCCCGACCCAATGGTGGTCCGCCGGGTCGCCCCGATCTCGCCCGTCGTTGCGTAGAGGATCAGGTGACATCTCGTGCCACGTGATAGCCATGCTTTAGGCGGCCCGAGGTCAGCGTTGCCAGACGGAATCGAAGTTTCGGCTTCGATTTCTGAGCATGTTCAAAGTAAGATTAAAAAACATATATCTAATTTTTCACGAAGCAAATTACGTAGTGTCTTTTATTATAGTGTTTTAATGTGAAATCACACATTATCCCTGAATTTCTGCAATTGAGCGGAATCGCCCCTTTAAAGAGAAAAACTAGCCCCATAGCTCACCACATAAAAGATCAGCCTCAAAAAGTTACCAAGATCAAAGTTTTCCAGACAAACCTTCACCTGAGGAGCGGTTGTCGGAAAAAACTAACGGCGAAACTAAGACCCAGGTTTTAACACACCTGTGCGAAGCCATCCGTCGGCGGTTAGTACAGCAGCTGTGTCTTCAGGTCGCCCGCGGTAGCCTTTCATAGCAGTGATGCAATGGACCCAAATTTCACCATGCTCAAACGCGGCCATAGTTTGGCCGCTGGCAGTATCCATAATCTGGAACGTAAATAAATATCACAAACAGCGCTCTACTTGTGCACGGCGTCCTCATCGCACTCCGGTTTTATTTCCTTCTAAATGCTAATAATGAAGCCTCATCTGAATGACAGACAAGGAATAATCGAAATAACGTGTCCACTTAAATTTCCATGGCACTTGAGGCCTAAATTTACTTTTTATTTATTTATGAATAACTGGCATTATCGCAAAAAGATTCTAGCAAGGGAGGTACACTGCAGAAATAAGACAAATACCAAAAAAGATGCCATAAACAAAACGTCATATGACAAAATTGAGGAAACAGTACTTAAAGAAAAAATACATTATGAACTGAAGAAAAAGCAAATTATACGTATCTGCACACTCCCAGTCGAATAAAACGCGAGAAAGCCAACGACAAACGCGCGAAGGCAAGAACATTGACGAACAAAACGAGACACAACCATAACGATGAAAAAAGGCAGTTCTATTCCTGCACCGTTCGTAAAAAAAAAAAAGAGAAAAATTGAAACAATTCCGACACTTCAATAAAAGTATTGAAAATCTACGCCATTTTCTTGCACAACAGTCCAGAGAAAATGTTGCGTTATTATTATGACTAATTTTATGATGACCATAAATAGTTTGGTATAAGAATCTGAGTTTGCACACACCTTCACTTTGCAACCAGCGACCGGAAAGCCGACGTTATCCGTCGTCACGTGTCCAGGAGCCGTCCCACAGACGGGCCCAAAGGCTTCAGTGAGCGCGTAGATGTTGGCCATCGTTTCGATGTCAAACACCTGGCACATGTCTTTGCAAAGCGACTTCTGAATAGCGCTTCCTCCGAGGAGTACTTTCTTAATCTGTGGCATGCTCGCTCCAGTAGCCTTCACTTCTTCAATGATAGCTTGCATCTTCGTGGGTAGTCCGAAAAGAGTGGACACCTGTGTTTCAAATAAAACGTCACCCTTACACAATAAAGCTTACTACAAGTTGCCGTTTACTAAGACGTTAAAACCTAAAGTATAAATTAGAAAACTTTTTCAAAGACTCCTAAATAACTAGATATCAAGAAATGTATTTTGATCAAGTTGAAGCAGCTTTTAGCTTTTTCCAATAAGGCTGGATGCAGATAACCAAGTATCACACATTGTTTGCAACATGACAAAACAGAAATGTTGAGTTGACATAAAATAACCGTGATGATCATAAGCTAAACCCCTAACGGATTGAAATGTATTTCAATAAAGACTTTCAAAGAGCCTTCCATTCTGAATGACATATTTTAATCTAGCTTTCCCAATTCACGAGCGCTGCCCCACTCGTCGTAGTCAAAAGACTCACTTTGTATGTTTCAAGGTCCTTCACAAATTCTTTATAAGGCAGATAAGGTTCTCTGAAGATAGTTGTGGCGCCAATACACATTGTAAACACGTTCACCGCAAAACCAGAAAGGTGAGTGATAGGGCTCCAAGCCAAGAAGACATCGTCTTCAGTCATCAACTTCAGAGAACTGAAAGTGACAAGAACAAGCTGTTGAGTTACTACACTGAAAGAGCTGTTTATATTTTATTATCATTTGTACCACGATAATTCTGCATTCAGTTTGTTTGTTTTGTGACTGCTAATTCAGTTGTCATATTACTCCTCTGACCTCGCACTTAGAATATCATATGTAACACCAGGTGTTTCTTTCAACGCCCAATGAACTAGTCACCCTATTTAAGGACGTATATACTCACACGCGTGGCAATATGTGGGCGTAAAACGTCTCCACATGTTTACCTGAACGTGGAAGACGACAAAAACAATCGTTATGTCATATCCTAAAAACCGTTCAATAATAGAAACATAGTTGTTTTTTCTCTTTTACTTCCAGCGCCTAATTTGTTGGCGTTCCCTGTGCATAGTCAAAATTTAATGGTGAGAATTAGTCATGGTCAGTTAAAATTTAGGCTTTTTTTTATATACTGACATACATCAGTACATGAGCAAGCTTTGCTCATGTGCTGATCATAAAAGATTCAGAATGTGTTTTCGGATTCCAGACATGAATTTCAACGCGCATCATATCCCGCATTTGTTTGTTTCAGTGACAGCCCCAAAGTCGAACATGGGGGTTTTACACGTCAGACCACCGAAGTGCATCTGGCACGTCCCAGTGAAGGACTGAAAATACATTTGAGAACCTGGAGTTCTCCTGACGTGCAACCGAAATCTGAGTTACATGGCGCCTTCTTCGCATTAAGCGTCTATCAAATAGCGAGCACCTTGACAGGGGTCCGAAGCCGCCATCTGGGGATCTGTAGGCCGGCGTCCGCATCAAAATAAAAAGTCAAACATCAACAGCTGGCACAACAGAAACACTGACGCCACTTATCTTCATGAGAGCCCCGAGGAAAAGTTCAGTTCGAGAAACGAAGCATTTTTTTTTTTTACATCATGATAATTCCGTAAAATTTTTATTGACATAGTATCGAAACTTCTGTACTACTGTTACAGTTAGGTCGGCGCTTACAAACAACGTATGTAATCACAGTACATTGGCTTTTCGTTTCGAAACTACGGGTCGAAAACGTAGGCAGTGAAAAGTAATCTAGGAAAACGGTGCACTAAAATAACGTGTAACAACTTATCACCCAAGGTTTACAGAACAAGCAAACGGGCTGAAAAACACTCTCCAGTTATTGGAATACTTCTTACTGGGACATTCAAAATAAATTATACGGAAGAAGCGGCGAAGATGGACTCGTGTTCCCACTCCTGAGAATCACCCAAAATTCAGCAGTTTTTTGTTGTTGTGTGTTTGTATGTGTATACGTGTGTGTGTGCGTATGCGTGTGTATAGTACTGGAAATTTCAACACCAAGCGTGGGATGTTATACACAGGACTTCTAGTTATTGGCTGCCATAAAAATCACAGCCAATAACGTAATAAGCGTACTTTGCATTTTTTCTTTGGAATCTGAAGGTGTAACGTTTTTCAGCGGCGTACGCCGGCGCAGAAGACCGAGTTAACCGAGCGTTGTGGTTCTGATACAATCTTCAAAAAAAACAGAGCAAGGATACGACGGCACCACCCTCCTTTGAACGAGTTCTGTCCTCTGGTTACTATATGTCTATCCGTAGGTATCTCTAGGAGCACGACCGTCGGTTGCACTCGGCTGTCTGCTTCGGCATCCGCCGTTGAAAATGCCAATAGCGTCGATTTGTTTTTTACACAAAGGAAGGTTCGCCTTGAAATTTCACGAGGTTAAACGTATACTAGAACACACCTTTTATGAAAATGTAAGCTCGCTGTCCACATGCTCGGATTTTCCAGACTCAATTTAGATCGTGTCCCTTAATTTATAACACCTTTCACTGGCTACTTAGGAATATGGCTTCGTAGAAACCCACGCTCGATAGCTATAAAGTTCCGGCTTATGATCAGTTTGTGGATACATCTGGGCCGACAGTACGTATCTAATGTTGTAATAAAATACCTACTCAAATGATTCAAAACTAGAAACGTAAGCCTTGTGCGAAGCCTCGACGCCTTTTGGAGGTCCAGTCGAGCCAGATGTATACATAACAGCAATGACGCCCTCCGTGTTGCTACTAGGGGAATACTCCTTGAACGATGACTCTGAAAGCTCTTGAAACGGGCTGATGTCCGTGAAACCGGGCAGGTCTTCCAGGCAGAAGAGTTCCTGCAAGATCAATTGCCATGTACAAAGATACGAATGAGTGGGCGGAGCGGTGATTAACAAAAATGAGGGTCGATAAACTGCACTAAGAATATTTATTCTTGCAAATTTTGTAAAAAACACTGAAATACCACGCCGGGTTGACTTAGCATCGCGTAGAGTAATCAAAGCCTGTGCACTACAATTTTGACGTCATGAGAGGAGATAATTATACTTTATTCGCACTTCGGAGGTGTTGATCCAGGCCTGACTTGTTTGTAGTTCAACTACTCTAGTAAGTTACCGTAGTTCAACTACTTTTCTGAGTAGTTTAGTAACTTTCAACTGAATTTTTATATCGCTAATTAGTAGTTTAGTTACTTTTTCCGAGTAACTTCTACTCGAATTACGAATTAATTTTGAATTTTAGTGGTATGTTTGCTGGTCAACAAACCTACCACTTTTGGAACATCAGCTGATATTTACGAAGAGGAAGAAGCATGTGCCGCAGGCACGGGGGGCGGCGGGTAGGAATCATTTGGAGGTTCTGAAACCCACTAAAATTTTCACGAGCCCCCCACTGCAATAACTCTCCTACGAGGCGCGGCGAGCGGACAGAGACGTCGCAAGTGAGGCCCAGAAAATGTGGGATTAGCACCAAAGGCTGGAATTTCTTTGTGTCCCGAAGCTTAAGGAGACTGACACATTCAAAGAAAGGGTTGGTCCCTGCTCCTTCCCAACGTAGGAACTCTCACCCACTACAGGAGGTGCACAGACTGAAGCCTCACTCAAAGGAGACCACAAAATGCAGCACCCGCTCTGGAGCTCATCTGGTGCTCCCGTTGTCTGTGCTGTACTTGAATGATCGCGTGCTAAAGTGCGACGCAAAGGTGACCTCTTTGCTTTGCCTTTCCACCCAAAACTCGGGATATTCCGGTCTTCAAAAATTCGAAGGTCGCTTGAGACGCTTGATAATTCCGTTAACGACTTTACAAAAACAAAACTCAGTTGGGAAGTACTTTTAAGAACATGGTACTTAATGTACTATTTCGAGTAGGTTTAGAAAAGGTGTACTTTGCTTGAAATACATTCTCAGAGCATGTACTTGTACTTTACTAATGTATTTTTGCTGGTGATTTCTAAAGTAAAATTCTCGACTTCAAAGTACATTCCCCAAATTTGAAAACAAAAAGTGAAAGCCGTTTACAACTCCCTGTAACGCCGAATTAGAGCGCAGCTCTTGAGGAGGAGGAGGGAAGGGTACTGGGGGGGTCAAGTGACCTTGGGTGGGGGTCACGTGACCTAGGTGGGTCACGTGACGATGACGATACCGAAGACGTCATCAGTAACGATAACGATGCGGATACCCATGACATCATCAGTGACGTCACTGATGACGTCATCAGGGATGATGACAATGACGATGCGGATGCCGGTGACGTCATCAGTGATGATGACGATGACGATGGAGATCCCGGTGGCGTCATCAGTGACGTCACTGCTGACGTCATCAGCGATGATGACGATGACGATGCGGATGCCGGTGACATCATCAGTGATGATGACGATAACGATGCGGATGCCGGTGACGTCATCAGTGACGTCAGTGATGATGACAATGACGATGCGGATGCCGGTGACGTCATCAGTGATGATGACGAAGACGATGGGAATGCCGGTGACGTCATCAGTGACGTCACTGATGACGTCATCAGCGGTGATGACGATGACGATGCGGACGCCGGTGACATCATCAGTGATAATGACGATAACGATGTGGGTGCCGGTGAAGTCATCAGTGACGTCACTGATGACGTCATCAGTGATGATGACAATGACGATGCGGATGACGGTGACGTCATCAGTGATGATGACGATGACGATGCGGATGCCTGTGACGTCATCACTGACGTCACTGATGACGTCATCAGTGATGATGACGCTGACGATGCGGATGCCGGTGACGTCATCAGTGACGTCACTGATGACGTCATCGGGGGTCACGTGACTTGGGGAGCCACGTGACCCTGGGGGAGGGGCCACGTGACCTTGGGATAATCTTGGGGGTCAAGTGACCTTGAGATGACCTTGGTTACGCCGACGGCGACGGCGTCGCCGACGCCGCTCAAGCCGGGAACGAGCCCCTAAGAGCTGCGCTCTAAAATGGCGTATCGTCATGTGAAAACGCGCTATCGTCTTTCGAGACGTCATCTTCTCTGAGTGAAGTAACGACGGCTATAAGATCGATAGAAATAAGTGCCTTATAAGTGTATTGTGTTAAATAGTTCGTCAGCGAGAGTAAAACAAACTAATCTGTGGCGACTTGACTTTATCCAATATTTGACGCATTTCCGAGAAAAATTGATGCTCCTTTGATTACCCCTGGAGCAATGCATACAAGTTAAAACAAAGTAAAAAGAAATATAGGGTAGAAAAGAGCGTCATGAAAGAAGTATTTGAACTTTACTTTAAAAGTATATTGTATATAGTACTTTACTTCAAGTCCATTGCACCGAGTATACTTACTGTACTTGAAGTACCTAACCCCTAATTGACTTTTTACTTTACTTCAGGGACATTTTATATGTACTTTACGCAACATTGTTAACAAGCAAACACTCTGCAAAATCAAGCTCAAGCAGTGCTAAACCCCAAAGTAGAAATGATACATCGAAGTACATCACTGACCAGAAAACAAAAAGCACAAAAATTAATCACGCAGAATCAGAACCAGCTATTAAAGCATCCATGTGAAAACACAAGCCGCTTTATATATGGCCAGCAGAAATTCCCTAACGAATCGAAAGATTTATACACTTCCTTGTTACTATAAAAAATATAAAAGTAACTTCAAAAGTAATTCGCTTCTTTGTTACGGCAGTTAGTAATTTACTCAATTACTTTCCATTTGAGTAACTTCTACTCTACTCAAATTACTTTTGAGCCCAATGCTTAGTAACTTATCTGAATTACTTTTGTGAGTAACTTGTACATGTCTGACCCAGGCTTACAGGGTCGCAAAAGGCGGTGATTCCCATACCACGGAGGCTTGCGGTCCCAACCATGTGCCCAATATTGCACACACAGGCGTGCAAAACTAAAGTTCAAAGTAAAAAAAGCCACAAAATACACAACAACAAAAAAGAGAAAAAAGAGGGGGAGGGGGGGCTAATTTCAGAATCCACCACACGTGCTGCACGGCCTTCAGTATAGGTCCAAGGTCGCGGAAATCGGGGGGAGGCGTTTGTGCGACTTCGGGGGGCAGCTGTCGCAACAGTACTACAGCACGAAGCAACCACGAAGAACCATGTCTTGCTGCTCGGGTGAGGAGTGGCTGGAAGCGGGCTGTGCGGTTGTTGAGGCGGGGAGCATGCACTAGTTCTTAGTGACCAGGAGCTAGGAGTCGACAAAGCAGGCGAATGGTGGCTGCCTGCACCCTCGATGCAAGGGGCTGCCATGAAGCAAACCGCAGCAAGCCGTTTGTTGTAGCGCGTGTATATGAAAGGCGTAAAGCCGAAGGCTTGCAGCGACTGTAATATGTGTAGGCAGCACGCCGCTGCATGCTTGCGAGGCGAGTCGCAGAGCAGCGGAGTGGGGCAACCAGATGGCAGAGCAGTACTCTAGGCAGGGTAGCACTAGGGCGGTGTAGAGCTGCCAGTCATTGGTGGCATGCCAGTGTTGGTGGGAGCAATAAATCCGAGCATGTGGCGGGACTTGGCGACTGTCCGGTGAATGTGGGTTGCGAACGACTGTCGTGCAGCGAATGTGACACCGAGCACAGCCACAGAAAACACACGATGATTTTTTTCTGTCTACAAGAGTACGTGTGGGTGGCTCCTAGGGGACGGCACAGTCCAGTAAAAGTCATTGCACAGGACTTTTCAGCGCTGAATTTGACGGACAAGTTGTGCTGCTTGGTCCATTGGTGTCACATGTCAAGGTCGGCTTGGACGGAGACATAGCCAGCGGGGTTGCGATGGGCTGAAGTAAGGTCAGGACGTCAGCATACAGAAGCGGGACGCAGCTGACACTTTGGGTGATACTGTCGATATATATAGTAAAAACGTTCAGCCTTTCCACTCTAGTGAAGAAGGAGGAGCAGCGGAGCTGTACTATGTGCCGCCGTCGCTTAAAGATGGCAGTTGCTGTCCAGAGGGTTGTCGCGAGATTTATTTGCCCACGGAGACGAAAAAAGGGAAACTAGTCTTGCACAGCTCCGCTGTAAATCTGTTGGGCCGAGGACACTTCCCTAGGGTACCCCAGCTAGGACGGCTGTGCTCGTAGAAACTTCGCCACGGCATATGACGCGTTGAGTCCTGTCGCTGATGAAAGATGCAAGACAGCAAAGCACAACACCTGTGATGCTCTTGATCTCAATGCTACCAAGCAAAGCGGCGTCAGGCAGGCGGTCGAAAGCACGTGACAAGTCAAGCTGTACGAGTTCGCTTGGGATACGCCGATCGAGGTGGGCAGTGACTGTATGAACCAGGGCACCGAGAGCAGTCTGACAACTGCAGTTGTCGGGAGAACCATGCTGGGCCGGGGACAACAGTCCATGCTCCTCAAGATGGGCATGGAGCTTTTGTTTTCAGGACGCGCTCAAATGTGCGACAAACAATTGAAGTGGAGGCAACGGGCCGATATGATGACATGTCTGCGCGGGTACCGTGACCCTTGTGAGCCGGTGTGATGCAGGCAATTTTCCACGCATAGGGTGTCATGCCGGAGTACAGAATTTTTTAGACATAGGACAGACGAAGTGAACCTTGGAGGGAAAAGAATATTTGAGGATCAAAGAAGGGATGCCATCGGGACGAGAACTTTGGAATGCATTTGTGAGAAAGAAAGCCTCTAGAACATTGTTAACGGTTAGTTTCACGGTGGATAGCCTGGGTGAGAGCGGTACCGTGTACGAAACATCGTCGTCTGCAGGTCTGAAGACGGTACAGGATGGGTCAGGAGTAGCGGTCCACGCCGAAGAGAAGTCATGGCTAAATGATTCTGTAAGGAGAAGCGGAGAAGAGATAGCATCACCACTGAGAAGAAAGGAAGGACTCTTGGACTGCTTTCGCTGGGAATTGACGTAAGCTCAGAGAACCTTTGGCTCCTTAACCGCTCTGCTGGCGATGTCCTCAGCGAAGCACCAATGGGCCGTACAAATTTGCTTCTTGACCTCCCGTGGCAGTTCCTTAGCAGTTGTGTCATCCCGGGAGTGGCTCTTCTTGAAACGGCAAAGCAGCTTGTTTTTGGGCCTGCAGGTGTAATCCACGGAGCGTGCTACTTGTGATGGAGGCGTTTACCCGTAGCAGTGTTGGACGCCAGGGAGCACATTAGAGTGGAGAAGAGGTCATACATGTTGTTGATGTTTGGCTCGGATAGCACAATATCCTACGGGGTGATGGCAACAAGTAGCTGTAGATGACCAGACTGTACATTCCTATAGGAATGAACGAGCTTGGCATGGGGGCTGCGAGTTGGGATGGTTGCGGACGGGGTCAGGTGAATGGCAATGTGATCGGACGAACTTAGTCCAGCTGTGAGAGCGCACCTCCGTGCGAGTGTGGGGTCCAAAATCAAGCAGAGATTGGGGTAAGAAGTTCCACCAGCAGGGAGGTGTAGGTAGGCTCGGTGCACAGTTGAATAAAGCCAGACGGCTCCATAGTTTCAAGGAAAGTGTATGATACAGGGTCTTGTGGGTCTGGGGTGGGAATCACTCCAATCGATCTCAGCGTTAGAGTCTCCAAGAATGTAAACGTTGCGGAAAGTGCTTTGCAAAATATGACAGGTTCAGTCGACGGGTGTAGGAGCCTGAAGGATTTGGCACGCCGGCAAGGTGGGCAGTAGGTGCAGGCCACTAGATATCTGGTACGTGATGGTGACCTCAATGAAAAGTGATTCCGGGCTTTCCACTTCAAACGCCTGGCACCGGCAGCGCAACAGCGAGTTCGGTACCGCTGCGAACACACCACCACCACGGGAAGTGGAGTGATCCCTGCGGAACGCAGTAGACTGGCCGATCGCGTCAAGTTGCCCGTCATGATTTTATGCATCCAGCGAAGTCTCCCAGAGGGCGAAGATCGTGTTGGGCATTGATGCCATCGTCGGTAGTTCGGGTATCTTGTTCCGGATATCGTGTATTCGGGAACCAGATCATAGGACTGGTAGGAGCCGAGCGCTGGGGAACAGGAGTTCGGAGGGTTCCCGGTTGGGTGACTTGCCGGTGGCGCTGTAGGGATCGGACAATCTCCGGCGAATAGCGAGTGATAAAATGCTGGGGGTTGGCACGGCGCGCAAAATCAAGGCGAGGACGACACGGAAGGTCGGCGATACGTGCCGAGGGAGACCCCCTCACTCGACCGGTCACACTGGAGCGCAGCAACGTGGTCATACACAGCACGCTCACAGCGGGCACATACAGGTCGCGTGGGTAGTCCAGGATTCGGGCTGACATCACCGGAAAGCACAAGCAGGAGCAGCCAGGAGACTGCTGGCACGGCGGGTGACATGCTAGTCGAAAGGTTTAGCGACGGGCGGTCAGGTTGACGGATGCGAAGTGGTACCCTATACAGCTCGGACACGGTTTGCATGCAGTGCAAGAGCTGCAGCAAGCCTTTGGTAAGGACCGAAGCAGCGGTCGTAGTAATTTTCTTTTTTATTTAGACATACTGCAGGCCTTGAACAGGCCCGCTGCAGGAGTGGGGTACATACAAACAACAAAACTATGCATATGAGAAACAAGAAACGCATGGCAATCATATATATTGCTTATACATCGACATATACACATACAAATTCCATCAGCATAATAAAAGTTGCATAATCAACGCCAAATATAAAATAAAAAATATTCATAAAGCAAGACATTGAGATATCCATAGCAGATCTTACAAAAAACTATAGTCGGCTAAAGGAACCATAGCAAATACCATAGGCGGCTGTAGCACGATGGGTATAGAAAACCATAAAACGAACTATACAATGTGCTATAGCGGACCATACAAAGACCAATAGGCGGCTAAAGAAACCACAGGAAAAGCCATAAGCAGCTATAGCACGGTGTCTAAAAATGAAAGCCGTTTACAACTCCCTGTAACGCCGGATTAGAGCGCTGCTTTGAGGAAGAGGAGGGGAAGGCACGGAGAGGCGGCTAGGCCCCTTCTCCTCTCCTGCTCGCCTGCCATTTAAGGACAAAAAATTTTCCGTTAAACTTAGGGGAAAAAAATTCCACTACATTTTCCGCTAGATTTATTTGGGAATCTTTTACGCTAGATTTGGAGGGAAACTTTTCTACGAAATTTAGCGGCGGAATTCTTCCGCTAAATTTTGCGCGGAATTGTTTCCGCTAAATTTAGCGGGAAAATTTTTCTGCTAAATCTAGCGGAGAATTTTTCCCGCTAAATTTAGCGAGGAATTTTGCCGCTAGATTTAGCGGGGAAATGTTTGCGCTAAATTTATGGGGAAAATTTTCCGCTAAATTTAGCAGGGAAAATGTTTGGCTAGATTTAGCGGGGAAAATGTTCCACTAAAATTGGCGGGGAAAACTTTCCCACTAAATTTAGCTGGGAATTTTTTCTGCTAAAATTAGCGGGGAATTTTTTCCGCTATATTTAACGGGAAAATTTTTCGCGCTAAATCTAGCGGGGGATTTTTTCCGCTAACTTTAGCGGGGGAAATTTTTCGCTAAATTAAGTGGGGAAAATGTTTCGCTAAATTTAGCGGGGAAAATATTCCGCTAGATTTATCGGGGAAATTTTTCCGCTAAATTTAGCGGGGAAATTTGCCCACCAGGCACCGCGCGGTTACGCAGACGGCGACGCCGCGCAAGCCGGACACGGGCACCTAAGAGCTGCGCTCTTAAAATGTATGTACAAACACAAGGAAAGGAGAACAATCAAAAGTTGTGATTCTCAAGAGCACCATTGAAGTCGGGGGCAAAACAAAATGTCAGGAGGGAGGGCGTTCCAATACGTAATAGTGCGTGGGAAGAAGGAATACTTAAAAATGTTAGTTCAAGCCAATATTGGTACCAGGAAAAACTGATGATGGTGCCTAGTTTCCCTAGACGATGACATGTATAAATATAGAGTTGATTCAATGCGGAGTCTGTTATTATAAAGCAAAGACAAAAATTCTAGTCTCGCAATTTTTCGACGATGCTTGAGTGATGACATATTGCTTGCTATCATTAATGAAGTGGGGAATCTAGCCAATTATACTTTTTATAGATCAGCGAATAGTTCTCTTCTGAACCACCTCAAGCTGTGACGCTCTTTTTTTTCTTTTTTTGTATTCGGGTTCTACACTATGCCAGCATATTACAACTTCGGTCTAACCAAGGAGTTGTATGCTTGCCGTTTAGCGGAAGGGGCAGCGTTTCTAAGTTTTCGATGTAACAAGCACAATTTACGAGAAGCCCGTGTAACACGAACAATAACAAGTAATAGTCAGGCACAAAGGAGCAGCGGAGCACCCATCGACATGTTGCCAGCTGTTTTTAGTCAGTGTTGGAAACAGCGCCGACCTTGCTGATGCAGCGCTGACTTTGCAATAATTAGTGAAACAGTGCTGACATATCGCTGCTTCACTCTTAAGTTATGTTCAAGTCAGCGCTGCAGTAGTGCTGCAATGTATCCGTGAACTGGCCTTAAGACGCTGACAACCTCAAACTTATTTTCTGCAGTGTGTCGTCACTATACACGCGACCGTGACGAAGGGAATATGAAGCAAAGACTTAGATTGGGCACGAGTGTCGCTTCAGTGTCCGGATGCGCCCCGTGTCCAATCAAGGCGTTGAAGAACGCTTGGCATCGGGCTCGGGTCTAATTGCCAAGTTTGGGCCATCCAACTGTGATGCCGTTTCATGGAAGAAGAGGAGGATGCTTCGATTATTCCAGATGGAGTTGGTTGACCTCGATGTAAGCTGCTGCCACATCGAATGCAGTTCGTTACATAATTGAGTTTTTTCCCGTTTGTTTTTAACAGCTAGTGCACCGAGATCAATTACTTTATAAATCTAGAATTGTAGAGGACATGCACTAAACATGCCTCGTTAAACAGTGCTTGCAAAGTTTTCATTCGAATGATTGACATAAGCTCAAAGAATGAAAAGGCGCTTGACAGACAAGGGACAAACCTCAAGACGGTGATCTTTTCGAACTTCCAGCACTTTTGATGCTGCATGCTTGTCCGCGAGGACGTACCGGCACTCGCTGTCTTTGATTATATAAAGCAACTCCCCTGAAATAAGACAAGAAACGAGATAACATCAGATACCAATCGAAATATTAACGCTGTGCTCTAGGATTACAAATCTTTTTAACATTTGTGGAAATCACCCCCCTCCCTTTTCCTAAGATAAACACCATGGTGCTTAGGTGTTTAATTTTTAACAAAGACAGGTGGGTGCAGTGTGGTAAACAAAGCAACAAACATATAACATGCAACTCTGGAGCAACTTCTGTTGTAAACCTACTTGTGACGAGGGTAGGCTTAGCCATGACGATCGTGGCCCCAGTGAATACCACTCCGAGCACCGCCGCTACGTTGTCCACAGTGTTAGAGAGGTGCGCGCACACGTAACTTCCGGGCCTCAACCCGCTACGCTGAAATCCCAGCGCATATCGCTGTATTCTTCTTAGCAGCTGGTTGCCCGTCAACTGGTGAACGTTGTCGATCTAGAAAAGGGGACAGAATATCGACTTTAAAGCTTTGACGTATTTTTTCTTATAGTTTAGCACTTTGATAGGAACATTTCTTGTTTCACCAATTGCGAGGCGACACACCTTTCTACTTACACTCAGACTTGTACACGTTACTGAAAAATAGTAAGGAATTACATTTACAATTACTCAAGGCTAAATTGTAATTTATTACAATTACAATTACCCTATCATAAAAGTAACTAACCGTTACTCCAAAAAGTAATCCGTTACTTTCGTGGCGTTACTTTTGACATTATTGTCCTCAAGTAAGAAACAAAAGGAAGAGAGATATTCAAGTTCTTATTGTTGCAACCTGTTCCATTTAATGACATTGAGTATTTTGAGCAACTGCTAGCTCTCGAAAGTCTCGTCAGACATTTTGCGTTATTTCTTACTCAATATGCCGACTGCTACGCTGAACACCATTTGAGCTGAGGCACTGGATGGGAGTACCATCTTGTTCCTCACGGATGCTTCATGCTCTGCATTGAGCTTTTTCAGCGAAGCAAAGGAAGTGCTATTTACCTCGAATGTAGAGCAAAGCTTCGTCGTTGCAGCTGTTGTTTGCTATTCGAGAGATTTAGTAGATCCTTCCAATACCTCCGATACCCGCGATAACGGTACCCGATAACGATATGATGCATACGCAAAGACGGCGGCGAAGTATCGGATATCGTTATCGGAGTCATCGGACCGATCTACTAAAATTCTCCATTGTCTAAATCGCGAAGCTGTGGAAGTCATGAATAGCAAAACATAGTTGTAACAATAAGGTGATAAATAATAAATAAGGTTTGGTTCGATATTCTTCTTCATTTGGTTCTGAACAGCTCGAGCCTCACTTCAGACGTTGGTGAATAAAAAGAAGTTTCCAGTATACAAATATAAGTAATAAAAGAAAACGAAGGACACTCATAATAACAATTAATTAGAACATCTGTTCAAACAATGAAAAGTAAATGTGCGTTTGCCGTGTGTACCTTTCTTGGTGCCGTTCAAAAACGCACGGAGCACGAACCGACTGCAGTTTATTCCGGTGTTCTCCAGACAGACGTCCGCTGATGCCACGGGCAGCAAAGGGTAGAGTACTAAGTAAGCGGCGCCTCACGAATTTCACTCTCTCCTCAAGCCCACAATATCAAGTCTACGTCAGCCACCAATATGTTTTATTTGTAAAAATATCTGCTTGAGATAAGACGCGTCCTGCTGGGGCAAAGCAGGACGAAGAAGAAAGGAAGATTATTACCATTTTCTAAGTGCTCGCAAAAAGCTGACTCACAAAAAGGGTAGGGTAGACGGAGCGTTGTCTCGTGTTGCGACATTATGAAAATGGTCGTAGTCACTATAACCGAGAAGGACATGGTTAATTCTTTTCAGTGCACTTAGCGTCTCGAGCTTCTCGAAGAGGCGCACAATCACTTGGTGTCCTCCTCTCCCCGTCTTCGACCGCAAAGGAAAAAAAAAAACAAAGGGACTAAAAAAAACCGAAAATAACTTAACCCCCCCCCCCTTTTTTTTTTTTTTTTTGTAGAAACGTTCATTTGGATTTTTTACGTTGTTGTTAGGGTCTAAAAAATAGTTTCAGGGGCTTGGTGTTGCAAGAAAAGGCTTTGCGGAACTGAAGAGTGTCAAGTCTCACTTTGCGCTGGTCAATTCGCGTGACGTGTCACTGCGCTCGACTTTACAAAAATGAAAAAAAAACTAGAATTGGGGGGGGGGGGGCGTGTCCTGACAAAAAAAAATGTAACGGATTACAAGGAATCCGTTACGTCAAAAATGTAAGGGAATTACTTTAAAATTACTCTAGAAAATGTGTAATTAATCCGTTACTAAATTACTGATAAATGTAAGGGATTACAAGTAATTTCGTTACTTGTAACGGATTACGTACAAGTCTGCTTACACTTCAGTGCGAAAAAATATATATTTCTTACAAACCAAAATCTTGTAACAAAACTCAGCTGTTTTAGCTGTATCACTTGAAATATGCTTGATCTACAAATACCGCTTTCGCGTAAAAATAAAATATATGGCCAATACCAATTTTTAACAAAACGTGATTACCTTCAAGTATACCTTAAAATAATAGCACGTCTAGATGTGGCAGAATGTTAGCTTACACAGCTGATTCTGATAGAATGGCCATTGTGTCTACAAAATTGGGTATAATCAAAAAAGTATATTTAAAAAAAAACGTTTCAGCGAAAATGTAGCAAAAGTTTTGTAGTCATGTGCGTACCCCTAACCACCCTCGCTAACTTGATGATGTAGCCAACATCAGCTTTAATATGCCACTAAATAGCGTTTCATAATTTCTTTCTTGGGGAGCCTGTTCTGCTGAGTAGCAAGCTCTTCTATAACATTTTTTTATTTATATATTAATATTCAGCTAAACGTGAAACTTCTTCAGAGCACATGCATTTAAAACCTGTAACAAAGGAACCGTAATTAACGTCTTCAAGCCTACTATAACAAATTCCCACCTCTTGATTTTGTAAATTGATTTGTTGCCCGTGTGCTTATCTCGTGAACGTGTAAATGCGCAATACAAAAGAAGCATGTTTATATGAACAACAATAATAGCGTCATTAGGAAGTATATTTTTTTTTTTTTTTAATCTATGATACGCAGTTTTTTAGTACAATTCAACGAAGACTCCAACTTACCGCGACAACTTTCTCTCCAAACTTGGACAATCCCTCCCGAATAACCCTGGGTGCGCAGCGGTTCTGGACGTCGAAGTCAGGATACGGAGAATACACAACTCCATCCACAATTTGTGCCGTCATCTTTCCTTCTGGCGTTCTTATTTGCGGGAACCTGGATGCCGAAACGGACAAAGTGAAAGACGTTTACACTTCTCAGTCATGCGAAATGTGAGCGCAGCTCTTGAGGTACTTTGACTTCGCGATATACTATAGTAAAGAAAAGATAGGTAAGAGAGGAGGAGGAGGGCGTGTGTGTATGTGTGTATCTGTGTGTGGAGGGGAGGGGGGGAGTCCTGTTTTTTGGCGGCGATTACGCCGAGGGGGTAAGCGAGAGAGAGAAGCGTACGGTGGGGGCCCTGTTTGGGGGTCGTGGTTGCGCCGACGCCGGATGCTGGAATGAGCGCCGTCCGGTCGACCTGTGTACACAAAGTATGGAGAGTGACGGACTGCGGTCGGTTGCGCGTCAATTCGCCCGCTAAATTTAGCGAGAAAACTGAATTTGTGTGTAAGTCAAGTGACACCAAGCCATGTGACGTCATTTTTCCCGCTAAAAATTAGAGAAAATTGAATTTGCGTATACGTCACGTGACATCATGTGACGTGACGTCAATTTTTCTGCCAAGTTTAGCGGGGAAACTGAATTTATAGGTCACGCGACAAGAAGTTATCTTACATTATTGTTTACGCTAATTTAGCGGGGTAAACTTAATTGTTGGCGAGGTCACGTGACGTCAGTTTTCCCGCTAAATCTAGCTGGCGAAAAGCCCTGTTTGGAGACCGCGGTTACGCCGACCAAGACACAGCTATATGCGGGAGCGGGTGCCTAAGAGCTGCGCTCTAAAAAAGAAAGGGAGAAAACAAGGGAGACAAGAAGTCATTCTCACTGCAGCACAAGGTCTTCATCTCAACCGGACAGTATTTTCGTCTTTACATGGAGGCTCGTCAATCTGCACCCTCGAAGCTATTCGCCTCGAGATTGAACCGTGTCGCCACCGTGCGGCGGAAATTGGAAACATGCGAAAGCGAGGATACCGACGTTCGTCGCCTGCTACGGGCGCACGTTCAAAAGCGTGGATCTCGACGACGCAAGCCCGTTTCCGGCTGAGCTGAGCCCTCCTCGTTAACGGCTTGTTGTATATGCTATTTCTTCCTACTAAAGGTTGTGTTGTATCGTTTCATATGCCTCGAAATTCAGGAAAGCAATCATCATTAAGTGGGATTCATCCATAATCTTAGTGTCACGGTTTGTACAGAACCCCTGGTCCCACATATTTTTCTTATCTTGCATAAGCCCCCCCCCCCCCCCCCCCCCCCCCCCCCATAGCTGTCATAAAATATTAAATGTTGTTATCTCGCACAAACCACCGCTCCTGTGGTTTGAATCACAACTTATTCCGATTGATCGCTACCCCTTTAATGGACTAATCAATTGATAAATCCTTTAGTTGATTTTTCACCGGTCATATTGATGAAAAACCTTAAAACTACCTTTTGTTTACTATTGCTAATATGTCACAAATGGCATATTTCATTCCCATTTTAAACTTCACGTTGTGACTCCTACGGAAATATGAACACCTTTTAAAGCAAGGTCATTTTTAATTTATTTTTTTAAACAGTATAATTACCCTCGATGACAATCACAAACATGCTAAGTGGCTTCACCGCACAAGCACGTGTCCTAAAATAAATAAAGACGTCGGAAGATGTGCTGTCCCTGTTCTGTCCTTTATGTGTAACTCTTTGATAAACAAAATGCAGAAACAATAAATCCGGTATTTGTTCTTTCATCGGCACATAATTCCAATTAAACGGCAAAAAATCGCAATAAAAGCAATAATTGAATACTCTGAAGGTTAATTAATGAACTGCCCAGTCCCAATATGTCTTACGTGAGGGCGGAGGGTGATCGGAAAGTCTCGTGAAAGTCACTAGCACTCAAAGTAAAAGAGTGTTGCTGCGGCCGATGCCGTATATGTCGTAGTGTGGGTCGTTTGTTGGAACTGCAGAATCCACTATCTTTGGATAGAAGATTATTTAGCCAGAAATTTAAAAATTCATTCCCGACAGCCGAGCGGTGAGGATGTAAAATAGATAGCTCCGCGGTACAGCGATTGCCCGAAGGATCCCCCTGGTAGCATGAAACGGAGGGACGCATATAGCAGCTGCTCTAGTCGCATCTGCAATAAGCAGAATTTTCTAGCTTGTGCGGGTGAATGCGACCGTCGCTTTTATTGCGATTGCATCAAAGTTGGTGCCAGTGAATACGAGGTGTTTATGTAATGTGGAAAAAGTGCTTACAAATGCAACGCTTGCACTCGTCGCTATCGCTCAGGCTTGAAAGAAGCGCGAGACTTGAACGCCCCTTCCAATGGCTCTGAGGACGAGGCCGATTCTGATACCGGCACCGGCCCCACCAGTGAATACTGGATCCAGCAAGCTGTCGAACGTTTTATGAACACAATCGCCATCAAAATGGAAGTGCTGACAGCAGAGGTGAAGTGCCTTAGAGAGGAAAACAAAGTCCTTCGTTCGGAGCTCGTTGACCTCAAGCGTAAACTTCTGGAGCGTCAAGCTACATCGGTTCCGTCACCTGTCACTGCATCGCTACAGAAAAAGGCATGGGACTCCTCTATCCCTACGGAACACAACATGCCTGGGCTATCAACACGTCCATCGAGTTCCTCCTTTGTTACGTCTCATAGCGTCGTTGGCGGTAAACGCACAAGACAGCAAGGTCACCGCCGACAAGCGGGATTGAGAACATCACCCAGGTCAACGCCAAGGTGAACACTCCAATCCTTCTGATGAGAAGGATGACTTCATACAAGTGAATAGACGACGCAAAACCAAGCCACTTGTTGGAACTAGAAAGGGCAACGGTGGGTGTTGCTGCCCGGCCGCCCGTTCAAAAAGCGCTCTTCGTGTCGCGCCTAGCTCCGAACACAAAAACTTGTGATGTTCGTTTGCTAATCGAACCTCTACTGCGGGTGAGTCCTCCTCCTGTTCTAGAGTAAAAACAAGATATGCGACGTACTTTTTTTTTTTTTTTTTTTTTCATGTAGAGGTTGAACAGGGCTCTTTTGAGATTATTAACAACCCCGAAGTGTGGCCTGATGCTTCGAGTTTTCATCATGTGTTTTGGAAAGTTGGACGTCAGTCGTACGCATAGAGATGAAAATGTCCCAACTCGGATGAGCAATAAAGACGATTAATGCCTATTATTGAAATGCTCGTTGTCTGCCAAATGTAGTGTCTTGCAATTTTGATGTTATTTGGCTGACCGAAACCAGGCGTAATGAAAAAAATGTCAAATCCAAGCTAAACTCTCAGAACAAGCGTGTATCCTTACACCCTTTGTCCTATATAATACATCCCAAAAGTTCAATTCGGCGTACAGCGCCCTATAGTCGAAATGACGGCCCCAAATTTTACGAGGGGCTTGATAGCCGTGTGGAACAACTTATTAAAATAGCTAATGTACGTGTTACTGACTACAAAAAATATAATCGGGGTTTTCTTGGCCCTAATGCAAAAACTCGGTGTTTTCTTTATCTGGTCTTTAATACGTAATTTAGCTATTTAAAAAGTAGGGCGCTGTACGTCGAAGCGAAATTTTGGGGTGTATTATTTGAGACAAAAGGGTGTAAGGTGATACCCTTTTTTTTTAAGAGTGTATTTTCCTTCATCCTATGACATCTATCGTCGTGACAAATACTACCCTTTAACTGGGCCAAAATTTGGGGGAGGTGTTTTAATTGCTATCGATAATTCGATAACCTCACATCGAAGACGTGACCTAGAATCATATTCCGAATGCGTCTGGGTAGAAATACCGGCACCACGACAGAACAGCACACGACATAACAGCACGCGACAAAACAGCACGGTCAAAACAGCACGCGTCAAAACAGCACAGCGTCAAAACAGCACAGCGTCAAAACAGCACGGAGACAAAACAGCACGCGTCTAAATAGCACGCGACAAAACAGCACAGCGTCAAAACGGCACAGCGACAGAAGAGCACGTGCCAAAACAGCACGACGTCAAAATAGCGCGACGTCAAAACAGCACAGCGTCAAAACATGACATTGACAATATAGCTAGGGTTCGGCGTTTTCGGTTTGTAATATATAAAATTCCGCGCGCTTTTTTTTTTTTTTTTTTGCTTTTATTTTAAACGAAAGTTTTCGGTTTTTGCGGTGAATATTTGTAGACTCATAAACTTCTCAGTTATATTAGGTTTCTTGTAGAAAACTAGTATACTAACGAAAATGCAATAATTAAAAGCGTTTGTGTAAACTGTATATTGAGAACCAGGTACTGGTCTTCTTGTTTGTTGCCGTCTTTGGCAGCCAACGCGACCTGTTCTGTAAGACGCACTAGGGCCTCATCGTGATCTGACATCATCGTCGTGTGCTCGTATTTGTACACAGGACGAGCATGAGCTTCAGTACCACTTTGGTCGGAGAGGCAAATATCAAAATGGAGAAATCAGCAATCATTGTACTCATTGACTGCGAGGGGTGATAAATTCGCGCCGACGGCAGAAATGTCAATAAAACACTCGTATTTAAGCCCTCCTCTAGTAGTCGGAAGCTAGGGTGTTAAACAATGCGCGGCATTTACGGACGCTCTTTATTTCCGTTGTTTGATTTCACGATCAAACTCTCTTCTTTTAACAAAGAATTCGGCACAAATCCCTATCAGGTGAAAACCCCAGATTTCGTCCTGAAGACCCCTGCGGCCCCGCAGCTTTTGATGAAAGTTGGAACGATCTCGCAGACAAGCCGAAAACTGCGACAGGAAGTGGTCAAATGGTTAGTAATGAGTAGGGTTCCGTGTTTTCGGAGCTTAGTTTTTGTCAAGTTCGGAGGGTGTTTTTCTGAGTTCATTATTTTGCCGAAAATTCCGAGCTTATCGGAGTTTATTTTTGTTTGATTCCGAATTCTCCGAAATTCGGAGCTCAGTTTCGCAGTGTTTCTTATTAAAAATAAACAAATAATATGCAAATATAAACGTATAATTGACAAAAAAAACGCGGTTGTATCAATTAATACTTTCTTCAGTTGGATTTGGCGTTGGTGCCATTACTACTGCTAATACTAATTT